TGACACACGGCAATCCCTCGGGCCTGTGCTGGGCCGCCTCTTGCTCACCGTCAATGGATCACGTCTGCGCACACAGTTTCTCACTCGCTTCGAACCTCCCCGCTGGTTACCCGTGCGCGCCCTTCTCATCATGCACCTCCGACTCCGCCCCTTAACCTTCCAATCACATGTCCTGCACTCACCGACACATTCCCTCATGCTGACACGGACATGTGACGTACACTCAAAAAACTTCACATCACGACTTCCGCTCTCCTGAGCGGACGCTTTCCTCTGACCACAAGAAAAAAGCCAACTCACGGCAGTATGGCCTGTGTGCAGAATAAGCCAGTTCTCACTATCTCTCGACTTCTGACATTAGACAAAACGAACTTATTGTGTGTGATTATAGTTGATGTTACATCCTTGACCCCACATATTGAGCAGGCTCGGGGAATGGTCGAAGCGCTGACTTATGCCCTCCAACCTAAGTAAGTACAACTTTCTTCAAGTCGGCAGCTACAGGGACTCCAAGCTCAGGAATTACTTTCTAAACGGTACAACATTGCAGCAGGTTGACAGTCAGAAGTACTTGGGTGTGTGGATTACATCCTCATTCTAGCCAATACTGAAATGCGCGAAGGCGGTCAAGTCGTTCATGTCTATATTGCAAGTCATTAGGTAAGCCTTTATGGGCTTTGAGGCGGAGAAGTTCAGAGGGCTTGCGGTCGCCCAAACTTTCCGCCTCTTCTTCTTCTTCTTCTTCTTCTTCTTCTGATACGAGTACGTGGTTGCGTTGACGGTCAGAAATTGGAAGGAGTCGAAGGGGCTCGGTGTAAGGAGCATCAGTGGGAGGGTCGCATAAGAAAGTTTAAACTTCTGAGAGAATGGTGGGTTGGCGGGGGGAGGGAAAGAACCTCAGTTAGTCTGAGTTGTCCTGGCAGATAAAACGGTGGCCCGATGCGGAAAAAGTAGAGTTCTGGGGCCTGCTGCCTAAATTCTAGAAGGGACAAAGTGACTCCACGGAGAGAAATAGCAGCATCTGCGGGTGCCGTGGGAGACATCGTTGAAGGCAAAATCAGGATACAGAACACAGAGAAGGTAAATAGACGCCAGAAGGTAAGTGTTAGCAGCGTGGACGTCGGAGGTCACCACTGGTGCGATTTGAGGCTGACCCGAAAGTTCACAATGGTCAACGACAGGGCAAATCTTCCCGAAGCAGAAGTCAGGGAAGACGGATTGGGTTGGACACTCTTTGCTGCCGAGGAGGTGCGTACAGAAGACCCTGCAAGCAGTCGCCGCGAGCTGTCACTCCAGGCAATGGATTGTGTCTGTGGCTGCCGTTGAGGTTGTCGAAGGTAGCTTGAAAGTTACACACTCGGTACGGTAGTAGACCTAACTAAGGAAGGAAGGGTAATGACCCTAACACCGGTCTCGTATTACAGATGGCTGGGGTTTGTTTACTTCGGGTGGAGCTGCATAGCCACACCTGATCGGACCCATTTTTCATGAAACAGTCGAGAAGACTGGAGGTGGGAGAGGGCGCAGATGGTTGACACGACCAACATCCGCACCCCGGCTTACCCACTACACCCGAATCGGGTCCCACGGAGTGACAGTGTCATAGATGCCGTGTTAACAAGGAGCCATTTCAGCCTCACCCTCAGCCCATCAGTCGGCCTCCCCGCACAGACGCACAACACCTGGTTGGCTGTGAGTTATCCAGTCAGTTGTCAATTCTCCATGCCACGGCTTTATAGCGCACCGTGATGGTTTGGAGCCCGTCAGATTGGCTATAGGGAGGAATATGTGCTGAGACCAGGATTATCTTACTCCCTCAGTCTCAATCGCACTCCGAGCTGGCCAG